GATGCTCCACGCTACAACGAATCTCTTCCACTCTTCGAATCTCCAGCACTGGATAGAGGGAGGGAGGGAGGGAGGGAGAGAAGAGATAAATAGATACAGAGGCAGACAGTGTGTGTGTGTGTGTGAGAGAGAGACAGACAGATATAGACAGAGGAATAGAGAGGGAGGGAGAGAGAGAGAGAGAGAGAGAGAGAGAGAGAGAGGACATAGACATACAGAGAGTGGGAGAGAGATGATAGGTAGGTAGGTAGAGACAGACAGACAGAGAGAAACAAATAGAGATGGAGGGAGGGAGAGAGTGAGGCGATAAAAAGATACAGAGAGATATAAATAGATAAGTAGAGAGAGAGAGAGAAACAGATAGAAAGATAAAAAGATAGAAGAGAGAGAGATTTGTTTAGGGGGGAGAACCAAGCGGCCGCCGGGCGGAGCTGCTGTCGGAGGCGACCCTGGCCGATGCCAAGCGGGAAGGGCAGGGGAAAGGAGGGGAGAGGGTGGGCTCGCTCAGGGGTTTGGGGTTGGGTGGGCGGAGCGCCGCGGAGGCTGCTGGGAATCGTAGTCCTCCCTCCCCCCTCCCCAACAAAGGAGGCGGCGGCGGCAGGCGGGGACGCAGCCCCTTCTCTGGGCGCCCAGGTGTTTCCCACCCAGGTGGCGCCGCCACCCCCTCCCCACTCCAGCCGGACAGGTAAGTATCTCTGGCGGAAGAGGGGGAAGGTAAAGGCTCCTTTTGGGGTGGGGGGCGCCGACCTCCCTCCATCCCCCGCCCCCCATGGAGGCCGACCCCCGAAGACTCCCGGAGCCGGCTGTTGGACAGCTCCCTCGCAGCCCGTTTGAAAGGGAGACCCCTTCCCCAAATACAACGCCGCCCACCTCGAGGGGAGCCTGCTATTCACTATGCCCCCCCCTCAGTCCCGGACCCCTGAAGGGTCCGCAGCCTCTCTTTTGAGGGGGGGGGGCTTTCCTACTCTCCCCACCCTTCCGGAGGAGAGAGGGCAAAAGAGGGGGTAGGGGTCTCCCGGTGGGGGCTACAGCCGGGGGTCCGAATCCTCCGAGCTGCGGATCTCCCCTCCCCACTCCCCTCCCCTAGCGTGGAAGCTTTCGGGGCGGGGGCTTTCCTTTGGGTTGGGGAGCTGGGGTCCTAACGGGAGGGGTCTTTTCTGGCGTCTCCCCCTTCCCCTCCCTCCCCCCCTCCTGCTTGGCGCTGCCTGCTTCATGCTGCACTGATGAGGTGACCTACTTTGGTAATGAAACGTCGGGAAAGGAAACCACCCAGCTCAGAGAACACCAAGGACCNAGGCAAAGAACTCTGTAGATGCTCAGAGGCATCTCCACCTGCATCGTGACCCCCTCCCCTCCCCCCCAAGTCTCAGAGGCAGTTCTGAGCCAGGCTCTCAGTAAGCTGAACCGCCAGGAGCTGAACTGCCGGCCCCACCGAAGACCTCTTCGGTGATCCTGAACCTGATTCTGGCACCTTCGTCCGCTTTGGGGGTTTGCACCCTTAGCCGAGCCAGGAGGAAGCCGAGGGGTTCCAGCCACAAACTGGCCCTGGGTCCGGTCAGGTCTCCAGCTAACCTCTCCTGGCTTCCCCCCACCCCCACCCCAATGGTAACTCCGCCCTGGTCCTCTTATGCAGGGGTTACTTGTGCTCTCCCCTCCCCCCCACAGGTAGCCCAGATCCTGCTTGGCGCAGTTTGTATTGGCATCGGCGTGGCACTGAGCATGATTGACCGAAACGATGTAATACCCTCCTACTACAAGCGAGCAGTCTACAACGGAGTTCCTTTCTGGTCAGGCAGCCTGGTGAGCACTGGGGGGGGGGGAAGGGGAAGGAGCAGGGAGAAACCCCTGGGTCTCAGCTGCCCCCCAAGAACCTGCAGGGGAGGATAAGGGGAACGGAACCAAGACGGCACAACGACACAGTGGTCCAATAGAGGGAGGCTGCCTTGTTCGGGGGAGAGGGGGAGACTATGGGTTGGGGGCTGGCTTCCTGTTGGTGGGTGGGCAGGAGGCCCAGATAGATATATCACCCCTCACCTGTCTGCTTCCCTCCCTCCGCAGTTCATTCTCTCCGGCACCTTCTCCACAGTGGGCGCCCAACACGGCGGAAATTGGGTAAGGGTGCGTGTGTGTGTGTGTCCCATCCCTGACCTGTCGCAAGGACCCGGTGCCCATTCTCAGCTGTGCCCCTCCTTGCCTTTTAGGTCCACCTGGCCACGTTCCTCAACCTGGGCAGCGTCGTGGCGGGCTCAGTGGCCTACACGGTGGGTTTGACGGACCTCCCGTCACCAACCTACCAACCCTACTTCATTGAGAGACTCTGTAAGAACCAAGCGGAGTACCAACACTACCGGTCGTGGGAACAGGCAAGCAGCCCTTCGTACGACACCCTGAGGGAACAACAGCGGACCAGGGAGTGCCAGGAGGCTCTCATGGCGTTCGTGGTGAGTGTGTCTTCCCTAGAGAGGGTGGCGGACAGCGGCGCCCGGTAAAAGACGGCAATCCCAGGACAGGACCTTTGAAATATGATCCTCCTCTGTCGGGCTGTCCTGAATGTCCGAGTGAGGGGCCAGGAGGGCTCGCTCATCCTCAGGTGGCTTCAGGTGTTTGGCCCCTGGGAAGAAGTGCCCATTGGTCATCACAGAGGGGGGGGGGGTCCCTCCTTCCTCTCCCTCCTCTTGACTCCCCACTGAGGATTCCGCCTGAGTCCCAGCTGTGTAGCAATGGTTAGACTTATATATACCGCTTCATAGGGCTTTCAGCCCTCTCTAAGCGGTTTACAGAGTCAGC